ATTTCATGGTATTGGGTCTTATAACCAAGTCTTTAATCCATTTCAAGTTAAGTTTTGTGAGTGATATAAGATAGAGGTCCAATACATTCTTTGCATGTGAATATTAAATTTTCCCAATACAATTTATAGAAGAGACTATCCTTTACCCACTAAGTGCTCGTGGTGTCCTGACAAATATTAGTTGGCTATAAATGTGGGTTTATAATTGTGGATTTATAATTCTGTTCCATTGCTCTATATGTTGGTTTTTATGCCAGTACCATACCGTTTTGATTACCATAGTTTTGTAATATAGTTTGAAATTGGGAAGTGTAAGATATTCCCAGATTTGTTCTTCTTTCTCAGGATAGCTTTGGTTATTTGGGGTCTTTTGTGGTTCCATATGAATTTTAGAATTGTTTTACCTACTTCTGTGAAAAATGCCATGGAATTTGAGTTAGGGATTTCATTGAATCTATAGATGGTGTTGGGTAGTAAGGACATTTTCACAATATTAATTCTTATGATCCATTAACATAAAATAGTTTTCCATTCATTTTTGTCTTTTTCAACTTCTTTCATAAGTATCTAATAGCTTTCATTGTACAAATCTTTAACCTCCTTGGCTCTTTTGTCAAATATTAATTGACGGTATATACATGAGTTTATTTCTGGGCTCTAGATTCTCTTCCATTAGTCTATGTAACTGTACTTTTTTCCAATACCATACTGTTTTGAATATTATAGCATTGTAATATAATTTGAAGTCAGGAACTGTGATGCTTCTAGTTTTGTTCTTTCTCAGAATTGCTTTGGCCATTCAAAGTCTTTTATGATTTCATAGGAATTTCAGGATTGTGTTTTCTATTTCTGTTAAAAATGCCATTGGAAAAACAGTATGGAGGTTCCTCAAAAACTAAGAATTGATCTACCATATGATCCAGTAATCCCTCTACTGGGTATTTACCCCAAAGACTTGAAAACTCATATCCATAAAGATATTTGCACACCAATGTTCAGAGCAGCATTATTCAGAGTGGCCAGGACATGGAAGCAACCAAAATGTCCTATGGTAGATGACTGGCTAAAGAAGCTGTGGTACATATATACAATGGAATATTAGCCATAAGAAGAGATGAAATACTGCCATTTGCAACAACATGGATAGACCTCGAGATCATCATGCTAAGCGAAATAAGCCAGACAGGAAAAGTTGAAAATCACATGATAGCACTTATATGTGGGATATAAACCTAAAAGCAACAAATGAACAGGACAAACAAACAGAGACTCATGGACATGGACTACAGACTAATGGTTACCAGAAGGTAGTAGGTAGGGTAGATGAGGTAAAGGGGTCAAATATAGGGGAGTAAGAGGAGGGTGAAGTAGGTAAAGGGGATCAAATATAAGGTAGCTGAAGGAAACTGGACTTTGAGTGGTAAACATTCAATAGAATATACAGATGTCAAATTATAATGTACACCCAAAAATTATATAATTGTATTAACCAATGTTACCCCAATAAACTTAATTTAAAAAATAAATAAATAAAATATAAATGCCATTGGAAACTTGAGAGAAAATGCACTGAATCTATAGATGGCTTTGGGTAGTACAGAAATTTTAACAGTATTAATTCTTCCAATCAAGGAACACAGGATATCTTCCATTTTTGTGTCTTCTTCAAATTTTTTCATAGATGCCTTAGGGTTTTCAGTGTACACATCTTTCACCTCTTTGGTTAGATATAATCCTAAGTATTTTTTTTTTATCATTTTTGATACTATTGTAAGTGGATTGTTTTTATTTTTCAGATAGTTCGTTGTTGTATAAAATGCTAGTGAACTTTGTATGTTGATATTGCATCTTACAACCTTATTGAATTCATTGATTAGATTTAACAGTTTTTGGTGGTGTCTCTAGGATTTTCTATATATAAAAACTTGTCATAGGCAAGAGAGAATTAATGTTAACTTTCTCTTTTGTGATTCAGAGGTAATTTTTACTTCTTTTTCTTGCCTGATTGCTCTGCCTAGGATCCAGTACTATGTGGTATAGAAGTGGTGAGAGTTGGCACCATTCTGTTGTTCTTCATCTTATAAAAATAGCTGTCAACCTTTCATCATTGAGTATGATGTTAGCTGTGGGTTTGTCACATATGGCCTTTATTATGTTGATGTAAGTTCTTTCTATACCTAATTTTTGAGAGTTAACATAAAAGAATGTTGAATTTTGTCAAATGCTTTTTCAGCATCTATTGAGATGATCATGTTTTTTTTGTCTTTTTTTTCTATTAATGTGGTGTATCATACTTACTAATTTGCATATGTCAAACCAGTTTTGCATCCTAGGGATGCATACAACTTGATGATGCTGTAAGATCATTTTAATGTGCTGTTAAATTTTGTTTCCTAAGAATTTTTGCATCTATATTCATCAGGGATATTGGCCTATATTGTACTGTAGTGTCTTTCTCTGGCTTTGGTATCCGGGTAATCCTGGCCTTGTAAAATGAGTTTGGGAATGTTCCCTCCACTTCATGTCTTTGGAAGAGTTTGAAAAGGACTGGTATTAAATATTCTTTAAATGTTTCATAGAATTTTCATAGAATTAAACCATCTGGTCCTGAGCTTTTCTGTGTTGGCATGTATTTTCTTTTTATGACTGCTTCAATCTTCTTACTTGTTATTGGTATGTTCAGATTTTTTATTTCTTTATGATTCAGTTTTGGTACATTGTATGTTTCTTGTAA